TGCTTCACCTTCTAAAATCAATGCCTTTCTTTTAGATTTGGGAGCAGGGACACATGTCTCATTTCCCTGACTCCTTCCACATCTTCTCTTTCTCTTACAATATCTCTGACTCAGTCTGTCCCTCTCAGATTGTGTCCTGAAAATCTAATTTTCCCTCCTAATATGAAAATAAACCAACAAACAAAAGCCTCTTCCTCCTATCATGTGCTGTGAGATCTGACCCCAAACTCTGTGATATCCAGATCACATAAGAGATAATAATGGAAATTTACCAAAGAGATTTTTTAGCTAAAAACAAATTCTCGTATTAGCTCTTCTCTCAGATAAATTTTCTCTGTCACTTTTCACAAATGACACCAGAAGACAAGGTGAAAATATTTCCAAGAACAGAGGACAAGCATGCGGCTCAGTGAGGTGAAAGACATGTCTTCCCCCTTGCATTAGTTTCCAATGCTGCTGTTCATCCCCACAGTCTTATTGGCCTCACACAACATAAATGTATTACCCTGTAGTTCTGGAGGTCAGAAGTCTCACTGAGCTAATGTTAAGGGGTCAGTAGGTCTGTATTCCTTCTGGATGCTCCAGAGGAGAGAAATGGATGCTCTGCTTCTTATCTTCCAGGTGCTCCCACATTTCTGGTTCCATGGCCCCTCCCTTCCTCAAACCACATCCCTCCCCAGTGTCCCAGCTCCTCTCTGACTGCAAGCCTCCTCGTCTACTTTAAACACCTTTGTGATTACATTGGTTTCATCTGGATAACCAGGTTGCTTATTCTCAAAGTCCTTAACTTACATCTGTCAAGTTCTTCTTTTGCTATGTAAGGTAGAATCCTTATGATAAGGCTCTGATGACTGGAGGAACACCAGGGTTCTCAGTCTCACGCCGGTTTGTTTAAAAAGACACCGACCTGCGTGGAGTTGTTTTAAGTAGCGAAAAGTTTAATACACAAGAAGAAAGGAAGAAAACAGCTCCCCCGTACAGAGACAGAAGGATGGGGGATTCGAACAAAGAGAAAACTCCATGTGCAGTGGAAAAGTGGCTGCTTATATGAGGAGGCTGAAGGAGGCGGTGTCTGATTTGCATAGGACTCAGGGGATTGGTCTGAACAGGAATGTCATTCATGTAGCCTGAGAAAAAACTGGCCCTCCCACCCTAGCGTTTTAATATGCAAATGCAGGGTGCCATAATATTCTACACACACAGGGATATGTGGGGACAGCCATGTTGCCAGGCACATGTGGGGGCAAGGAAGAAGAAGGTAGGCACAGTGGCTCACGCCTGTAATCTCAGAACTTTGGGAGGCCAAGGAAGGTGGATCATGAGGTCAAGAGACCGAGACCATCCTGGCCAACATGGTGAAACCCCGTCTCTACCAAAAATACAAAAATTAGCTGGGTGTAGTGACACGTGCCTGTAATCCCAGCTACTTAGGAGGCTGAGGCAGGAATATTGCTTGAACCCAGGAGGCGGAGGTTGCAGTCAGCCAAAATCGTTCCACTGCACCCCAGCCTGGGCGATGGAGCAAACTCT